GTGTCACTAAGGGGAATTTCTGGTATTCGGAGAAGAAGAAATTTAAAAGAAATGTCAACAATTCGATGTGAGCATCACAATGAGAAATAATTCTTTGAAGTGATCTTGTGATCGAATTTTTAGCTATTGTGCTAAGAGGCTTAGAATTTTTAAAAATAATAATATTATTAACAATTTAACAGTGAAAATGACAACAACGCGTGACTCTGATCTCCACTGATTGTTGTTTACCAAAAGCTTTTTTGAAGGTTTTATCTTTTAATTCGCCAGCGGCTTAGAAGTTCGTAATGGGCGATTTATCGGACTAGTGTCAGCCAAATCTCTAGCAATAATAATAAACAGAAGCATTCTCATCGATCTCTTGGCTTCCGAATAGAAAAGGAACTGGATACTCAAGGAAATAAGAGACCAAAGACACATTGCCAATGCCACAAGGAAAGCCATAAGAGAGCAAACCCTAAAACAGTGGCAAACTAGAAAACCGTGACCGCTGGTCGGTCGGTCTTTATAGTATGAAATTGGATTTTTTTTTATAACAAAAATCTTATTCTTCACCTTGAACACCTACTAAGCGGTTGAACCGGTTTCGACAAAATTTTGTGGTTGTATTTAATCGCATTCGATATGGACTTGGTACAGATTTATTCGATATGCGATTCCATTACCGGTCTAGATAAATATGGCGGCGAAGAACTGCTAGATGCATACATCAACTTTCTTCCAAAATATGACCGGATAAAAGCATTCCCCGCGATTGGAACCTAAATGTGCCCTGAACGACAGAACGAAATGGAGCAGTCCCGACGCCGCTATGCCTGTAATTAGTATCCCCGCAAAACTTATACGGCGGTATAAACTGAAGCTGGACAACATCACAAGCGTAGTCCAAATTGGGAAAAACTTGTTTGAGCAGCTCGATGCCAAACGAGGCTTCAGATAAGGTAATTGCTTTTTGTGAGTCTTCTTTTATGCATTGCTGGAAGAAGAGCTGAATAAAAAAGGTACATTCTATATGCTATATGCACTTATAATATAGCTGCAGGCGTCAGCTGATGGCATGGATATCATTGACCTCAACAACCGTACTGAGATTCTCTTTCTTCAGACTGGAAAAGGAAGCGAAGCTTGCTGTCTGGCAGAGAACGAGAAAGTAAAGACTTCTCTCGACCAACAAAGGCCAAACTCAACAATTTGCTCATCATTCTGTTCTGCCCTATCCTTCGCGAGATATACGATGACGTTGATAAAGTTCAGCAAATCAAGAGACACTCCAGATGCATAATAATACTCCAGCTCTTCAAGGTTTCAGTGCAGCCGCCGCCAGTGGAAGCAGAAGAAGCGGAAAACTACCACTCCATTGAATGGGCCAGCTGGAGAAGGACCTGGCTCTACTTAATGGCGCGCTGTCATTAATCGCCTATGCGATGTCTGCGCCAAAAGGGGGAAGGATCGTGCCACCCTGAAGTAATAAGACATGTGCTTTTGGGGACAATTTAATTTAATTTAATTTGTTAAATAAATTAAGTTTTGTATTTATTTAAGAACGACTAAAAGTTATTTACGCAAAATTTTAAAACTCCAAACAGAAAAAAGATTACGAATAATAATTTTATCCGGATATGTGTTAAAAGAGCTGATCTGGCCAAGAGAATATTCCCACGCCACTTGAAGTTTTGAAACCGTTATTTCCATTTATTTATTTGCTCAACTAGTTTTTAAAGAAATCCGACATTATTTCACATTTTTTCCAATTGTCAGAGGACACAATTATTCAGCAAATATAATTTTCAAGAACTTTTTTCCATGATTTAACATTCAACTTTTAGAGTCGTACAAAAAGGTGTTGAGTGCCATTGTCCAACAACAGTTGAGTGTCCACAGAAGTACTTGTTATACTTGTTGTATTTAAGCAAACAACAAAGCGGTAAAATGGCAATTAATACTTTTTGCTCATAAACAACTAATAATGGCCATAAAAAATATGAAGTTAAAAAAAAAAAAATCATAATAGCGCAATACCCGAAGCGTCACTATCACTTTCTTTCAAGCATTATATCAGCAAATTATTCATAAAATAAAAAATTATAGCAAATCATTCATCCCTTGAGGGCACTACATACGTGTATGTACACACACTTGTTTCACCACTGAGTATTTGCACATACGAAAATTCAATCGGCAAAAAAAAACACTAATATATAATATTGTGGCAATAAATGAAAATAAATTAAAGTTGTTGTTGGTTGCAATATAAAGAAGTTCGCAAAGAAGAATGTAAATGCCCAATCGTGTGGCCTGCAGTTTGCCATAAAAATAACTCGCCACTGCTGGCCGGCAATTAAATTCTCAATTTCCGTTTACTCCCTCTCTTTCGCCGCGCACTCATTCGAGCATATTTAGCATTCTACGCCAGCAGCTTGCCGGTCAGTAACTTTCACTTTATCGCTTGTAAAAAATCTCCAGCAGCAACAATGTGCAGATGCGTCGGCAGTAAGTGTTTGTTTGTGTTCTTCGTGCATGAATGGTTGTGTGCGTCAAACAATTTGCGCGCGTAAGCAAAAACACAAAATAAAAACATCGACAACTTGCAATTTACTTTCGTTTTAGCTGGGCTGGGTCGGTGTAAAGTGAAATGCCGAAAGTGATTTTTATGTGTTTCCCTCTGCTTGTGGTTTATCAGCAAGCGCTTTGCGAAAACAATTTCCCTTTCGTTTCATTTACAGCTCAATACTAATTAAACTAAGCTAATTTTTTCAACTTTTAAAGCCCTTTCACTTATATTGAAGCACAAAAGAAATAATTTATTTATATTATCATTCTATTAAACTGTTACCGTTAAACCAACAAACACTTTTTTTTTGTATTTTAATTAGCATTGCGTTAATTGGCTTTCAATACACATACACATATGTTGTCCACATGACTTGCATATGTCTGCAATTTGCTATATAGGCCGGCTAATGGGTGAGCATAGCCTGACGCATGCTGAAACAGTCAAATTTCTTAGCATAATCCCATCGCTTTCATTCCTCAATTATTCACATTGCATTCGGCATGGAAAATTTGTAATTGGGTCAACTGCGCACGCGTCGATAATGCGTATGTGATCATTAATGCTAATTGCTTAAACCGATGAGAGGTAGACACTTATGTTCATGGACTTTAATTTTAACTGTAAATCGCTTCATGAGGAACTGAAAATATCTGAACGTAATCTCCAACAATTCTTTGGCTGTTTGAACTCATAAATCGCAAAGGCACATACTGCTGGCTAGATCAGTTGTGCAAAGCAATATTTGGAAACAATATCGGCAGCAAGTAAAGCTGTATATACAATACATAAAGTTAATAATTATAGCAATAAGTAAATAACGTAAAATTATTACTATAAAGCAGCGGCTTGAATCATTTAGTGCAATTTATTTAACATTCCATACGAACCGCAATGATTTGAGAAATCAACGGAGTTAATTCACAAAACCGATTCAATATTTGTTGGGCCCAAAAATATCTTATACAAAAATCTTATAGTAAAAAAATTAAAATAAAAAAATTCAGTCGATACAAAAAAAAAATACATTTCAGCAGTCGCAAAAATTTTAAGTAACTTTTAGTAGAATTAATAATATTCAATTTATGCGAAATAAAGTTTTGAAATAATCCCAGAAATTGGAGTTTAAAAGTTGGTAGAAAAATATGCAAAAAAATTAAATAAATGAGTGAATACAATTATAACAACCACATAATGAGGCTAACAACCGCTCGAATATTAATAAATGACCATCAAAAATATAAACTCAAAGTCGAAAATGAACCACAACGAAACCCCTTTCACCACGCCACTTGTCACACTCGCACATAAAGATGTCTATCTATCACTTAAAGAGATTAATGTTTGAGTACATCTTCAGCAGCTGCTTGTCAGTGGCGACGAAGTCGAATGGTGGGACATAATGTGTAATAAATAATATATTGACTGAGTTCAAAAGACTTGTAAAGGAAATTGACAAATCTGTTAACTGACTTGAACAAATTAATAGTTTTTAGGGATTACCATTTTGGAAAAAATATTTTTCAAGTGAAAAAGTAGATGAAAAAAAAGTTTAAAATTTTGCAAGTTTATTGACGGCACGGTCCACCAATGCAATACTTGTTTTTGAAGCAAATGTTTCTGTAGATTTTTAATTTATTTTACACATGCACAGAAAATTTAATTTGGTTTAATTATTTTCTTTGCCTTCAAAGTTTTATTTTTTATTTTATTTATTTTTTTTTTTCATTTTCATATAAGGTTTGTAAGTAATTCCTGACTTTCTTTGTATATAATTCCTACAATCAATTCCAACTGTGCCCTTTATATTTTGCGATTTGGTAACCCTAGTTTGGCAATCTGGCAACTGACAATTTTAATATGAAGTTTCACATTTGCCTTGTTTATGGTAATTTGAAGTACTCATCTCGGCCAAAGAATGGAATTAAATTACGAACAGTTTTCGGTGATTATTTTTCCCATCGCGCAAAAAAGGCTCGCGTCGATTGGTCAAAAGAAATGCTAAAATGTGTGCGTGTTCCAAGCACTTCCATGTAACTGATGTTTTTTTTTTTTTTTTTTTTTTTTTTTTTTTTTTTGAAAAATTCAACACAATTGTTTTTTTTAGGAAATTCGGAAAAGCAACAGCCAAAGACGAGTCACTCTTCAAAACGACAAAGCTGATTTTTCTGGAGAATATCTTTCAAAACTACAAAGCGATTTTCGATTATTAATATTGAGTGTTGCTCACTAATCCCGCAAAATGAAAGGAAACCCTCGTAGTAATTTTCCCAATTTCAACCACTCTGAATTCCTAAATCTTTCGAGTTCGATTTTTAAAGAAAAGCCTTAATTTCATTGTTCAGCTTTTTTACTGTAAGACACCGTCTAATAATTTCGCTTTACTGTAGACTTATTACTGACGAGTGTGTATTTGCTCATCCCTCTATTTCTCTCTCTCTCTTTCCAGAGGGTCGCAAATTATTCGGCGGCTATCGGATAACACCGAAACATTGTCGAGCCACGAAAACGTTAGCCACAAATGATCCACGTAAAAATGGTCCCACGATTTGTATGTTCAATCACGAGTGCGCACAGCGAAACGGAGAAGTGGTCGGCGCTTGCATGGATGGTTTCCTCTTTGGTGCATGTTGTCAAATACCCGGCGAACAGGATCTCGAGAGTACATTACTGAATGATGCCCAAAACTCCTACTACCAACAGCATCAGCAACAGAAATTGCAAGATGAGTATGGCGGCGCCAATCAGGCGGTGGCACAATCCTACGAGATATACGGTGAGAGCCAACAACAACATTCGCAAGAGACCAAATACTCTCCACCCACATTCAAACCAAAACCAAAACCGCAACGCATACAAAAGCCACAACAACAACAACTACACAAATATAAGCCGCAACTACCGCGTCCCATTTATGGCGATGTGGCTGAGCTTGCATCCGAGGAGGTGAAGCAACCACAAAATAGTTACACACAAACAAATATCGATAAAGTTTATCAGCAGCTGGAGAGCAGCAGTGTTAGCGTGAACTCATACGAGGCGCAACACTCGCAACACGAAGAGGCACCCAGCAACAAATACCAACAATCGCAAGAGTCGGTGCCCAATGTCAGCACTCAGTATGTAATGGAATCGTTGGAAAGTGCACAGCATGAGATACGTCCGGCAATCGGGCCCACGGCTTCTTACTATGACAGTACACAATCTATACAAGCGGATAGTCAGCAAGAAGACCAATCACAGCAACAACACGAGGAGCAACAGCAGAAACTTCAAGATCCACAGCATCAGCAACAAGATAATCAAGATACTTCAATCGAAGGTACACTCCATTCAGGACCAGCTGAATCAGCTAGTATAAGCTCTGACTCGAGCCCACAATCCTCCAGCGTCGAGTTGGAGATTGTTTCCAAGCCAGATCTAGCTGTTGCACATTCGCACATAGTACAAGAGTCCAAACCACGACCTGTGCAAGTTCCTTTCACTACTGCAGCTCCGGCGTTGAATGACGATTTTGTACTGGATCTGCTGAGCACAACACTGCCGCCACCACTAAACGATGATCAAGTCTCTCTCACAACAACTGGTTTACCAATGCGAATAGTAAACGGTCTGACCGAGCCGAATAGCTCATCGGAGTCTAATTCCTTCGAAGAATTGTCAGTAACACAAAATCCACTACAAAATAACGATGAAGAAGCAAATACACCCGAAGAAGACTTCAAAATTACCGAGACTCAAGAGCAACAAACGACCAGGCCACAATCTAAACCACGACCACATCAGCAACAAAGGCCACGTCCACAAGTACAAGTTTCTCGTCCACAACCACAGGCACAGCCAATGAGGCCCCAGCAAGTACAGCAGCAACAGAAACAAAAACCTCAACCTCAGCAGCAACAACATGGCACTGGTTCACATAACCACAATCATCTGATACTCGATGGCGCAGAGTTCACACATAGCGATATCACCCATCCGGGCGCCGATGCCGACCTCATTGAGGATGATCTGCAATTCTCGACAGGCTATGGACCCCAACCGGTATATTTGGAGGCACCTGCGCGTCAGCCATCGCCCATCAGCTATCAGCCATCTACTACAACAACAACCACACACGCCTCCCTTGCACCAAAAGACAAGTATGACTTGGTGCAAAGTGTCGTGGATGAACAGTCCAGCAAACAACCACCCATCACTTATGGCGAGCCCACAACCGGCACCTCAATCACAACACATGTAGACTCAATCGAATCCATAATCCTCCAATTGAATGGCACAACGAATCATGGACCCACTTATAATATCGTAAATCAGCAGCAACCCCAAACTGTCTCATATGGCGCAGAATCAGACACCTCAGCAAGCAAATATGAGCCAACGAACAGCGGGCAACATTATGGCACAACAACAGTAACCGTGCCAGTAACTACCGGAGGTTCATATTATGGTGGTGGTACAACAAATTACTATGATGAATTAGAAACAAAGCGTCCCGACGATTATTACACGGAGAGTGAACAGCAAAATGCTCAAGACTACTCACCAGTTACAGCACAAGCTCCTGCCTATCTAGAGCCTGTCAAAAACAATTTAAACGCCGCCCCGGCAACGCAACAGCAGCCAGTGCATTCCTATGTATCCAAACCTGCCGGATCAACCGTCGACAAACAGAGTTCAACGACAGCAGTCAACTATGCTGAAGATGCTGCCGCTGCCTTGGACGAGCACACAATGCCTGCTAATAATTACAACGACGCATTGCAGTCTGCATCCCACCAAACGCATGAGTTTAACAAAATGCCTGCCTACGGTATTGCATACCCCGTGGATATGTCACACATTGAGGAAGAGGTAAATATAGCTGCCGAGGGAGCCAGCAATTATGGTGTACAGCACACATCCACACAGGGATCCTCTCAGGGATCGATAGACAAGATAGATGAAGCACAGCCAGAAGAGAGCAGCTACGGTGTACCTATTATCGCTGGCAAGCCGCAACGCCCCACATATTCCGGTGTTGTGAATGCACAAAACTACAATGGACCGAAAGTGCCAACAACAATCGTATATAATAACGTGCCGCAGGAAGTGTCTGTCTCTTCGCATACCACGAAAATCCAAGACCTTCAATCGGCTTCCCCAGCAAACCACACACCCAAACCAGATACACTGACCACCACCCAGTATGTTGAAGAAAGCACGACGGCAGCGAAGCGTCCCACTGTCAACAAAATAGCGACGACATCAGTCACCACACCCTCGCAACCTCGTCCACAATACAATGCCAGCCCCACTGCTGCAACAACTGCTCGCCCAATTTCCGGCATCATCACTTCGAGTGGAACTAGACCACGCCCTCGACCACGTCCAAAACCAAGCACTGCACGTCCAAATAATAAGAAGACTAAACCAAGTTCTGCCAAGAAACCCACGACGGCCAAGCCGGTGAACAATAACAATCAAACGCCAGCACAACCTGCTAACAATTATGGCGGCACTCAAGCTCAAATAAAGCGACCGTCGACCACACAGCCTTTGAACGACTATCAGGATCCCACTTACAATACCAAAAAACCCGCTCAACTGCCTTCGAATACTTACAACGATAATGTCAATGAAGAGACCACATACGTGCAGAAACCAGCGCCCGTCTCTTACACCCAGCCGCAGCAACCGGCTAAGAAACCAACAAAGCAATCAACTAAGCAAACTGTGAAACCACCAGTGAAGCAACCCGCAAGCACATACCAACATAATAAACCGACCTATGTCAAGCGTCCAACGGTATCTCCTAAGCCCAGCAATAGCTATGTTAAGCCTGGTACAAACACCTATAATGCGGAGCCAGTCTACCAAAGACCTGAGCAACATCCCACTTACAGTGAAGAGACTGTGACACGAAAGCCAGTGACACAGCTCACGAATTCATACAACGATAATGATTACGGGTCCACTTCGGCGACTCGTAAGCCAGCAGTTTCTGCCTCAAATCTTTACGAGGACCAAGTAGAAGATCATAAATCCCCTGCAAATGAACAATACTCCCAAACACCAATCCACACGTATAGCCAGGATACGAAACTAACCTCTGAAGATTACGGCCAAGATTATGACAAACCGGACCCTGTCTACGACCAGAACAGCAAAGTGCCTCAGCCCGCTTTCGAATCCGACGCTTATTACCCCGCGCCACAGCCACTTGCCGGTGTCACAAACAAACCGACGATTATACGCAAGCCAAGCGTTGAGACAGCAGCACCCACAACATCTCGCCCTTCGACAACATTCATTTACCATGATTCCGAGGTGCCCCCACTCATCTCAGCGGATGATAAGTTGGATTCCTTTGTGCAGGGCACAGTTCAATCTGAAAATAGCGCCCAACCCATATTGAGTGATTCGAACTACTCACCTCAATACGCGGAGCGTCCACAATACAACTATGTGCACAAGAAACCAGGCTTCGTGAAAGTGACTTCCAAACCAATAACGACCACTAACGGTGTTATTACCCCGAAACCAACACTCTTTACACTAGTCACAAACAGCGATTGGCCGCAGCGGCCAAGCATTGCTGGCGCAATTTTCAACGATAATGCATACCCACCAACGACGCCATTGCCCGCCTTTGGTAGCACTTCATATATCTACAGTCCAATAGTGACGCGCCGTCCTGAGCTAGCAATAAATACGCCTGAATATGTTGGACTGCCTGCAGTCACAACCAATGACTTCGACGATCCTGGCTACTATGGAGCACAGAATGTTGGACAAAATGGTCATATCGGCGTGCATCCAGCGTTCACACAATCTGTAGCCGATGCGGAGTATGGCGTTCCTTCGGATGATCGTCCCGCTTTCCCAGGGTACTACGGGCCAACGCCGACCTATCCACCTTTCCCAATCCCTGGAGAAAAGGTTGGCGCACCAGTCGAGGAAGAGACCTATACATCGCCCAATGACTTTGTTAACTTCCCTCCTGTACGCAATCCAAATCTGAACATGTCCGCAACATCGAGTGCCGTCACCACCGACTTGGAGCTCTCGACACCCGCATTCGTTGAAGATGGCGTGCTCAAGGACAAAATGAATACTTTGGTGCATAAGATTGTTGAATCACTGCAGGGTAATTTCGACGCACTTGCCGATATGATCGATGACGTGAATAACACGGCACCAGCGGCACCCATCTCAACTTATCAAGCCGCTGGCGCTGGCGCTGGCGGAGCGGCTACAACACGCAAACCCACAAGGAAACCAACGCGCATAGCAACACAGAAGCCAACAACAAGACGCCCAGCGACACGTGTAACCACCAAACAACCAACGCGTAGACCAGCTACGACTACCAGACGACCAGCCACTCGACGTCCAACTACGACTACACGTAGAACAACAACGCGCAAACCCACGCGTCGTTTAACCACAACAACGACTGCAAAACCAATTGCCGAGGATGAACTGGTTGACGAGGAGGACGAAGAAGATGTTAACCCTGCGGACAATGAGATCGGCGGTGATCAAGATGAAGCTTTATCTGGCGCAGGTGGACGCAAATTTAGTAAGTACTCGCCGTCATCCAAGAGGCGGCTATAAATTTTTCTTTGAGTTTTTACTTTTGTGTTGAATTAGTTTGCCATGCATGGAATCCGAAACGACTCTGTTTCTTTTTCTTCTAATTTGTCACCACCCACTTACACTAAAACGTCCCGCGCTCACCCTCTCACTTCCCAAACCTAACACAATCCCTTCTCCAACCCCCTGAACGACCACACTCTATGCAAAACACGCCCGCACGCACGCGTCATACACTCACATCCCACTTGCACACACATCCATACATATATACTCATCGGCAAATTATTTATACTTACACACGCAATCTCTGTAAAAAAAACGGTTTGCACTTCATTACCACCTCTCCACCGAATTTCACATCTGCACTCACGCATACACAATAATCCCGACATGAACTACTACTGACTTCATCAACACAGTGCGTCTGTTCAACCAAATATACGCCCTCCTTTAAACCGTTGTACTTTGTAGAACTACTAAAGAATATACCTTCTAATCCCTTGAAAAATCATCTCATTTTCTATTAACCTCATTAACATCCCCAACATCGATATTAATCCTCAAGTTCCCTTATACCATTTACACAATACTTGCCTTCACCTGAACTTGCCTATTTTGAGCAACCGTCATTGACCAAAAATTTGTTTGCATGAAGTCATTTGCCTTGGTCTTTCTTGTTCTTATACTTAATCAGTTCATTCAAGCATCCCATCAAACCCATCTTAAAAATCTACTTCGTCCTACCAGGCAAAGCTCACTATTATACTTTAACCCCATTCCTAACCATTGACATCCCAAGCACTTCAGGCCCAAGGCATTCAGTACAATATATCACCACAATCACATAGCCATCACCACATCCACCACTATCATTACAACGAATGGTATCGAAACATACCCAATACCACCGAACCATGGTCACCTCGCAAAACACTCATCTATGCTGTTGCTATACTCTCCCTTTACCTCCTAACCTCACATTTCACTCCCCATCGACAGAATGCGGCGTACGGCCACACATCAAATCTGGTAGAATTGTAGGCGGCAAAGGCTCCACATTCGGCGCTTACCCTTGGCAAGTGCTCGTACGCGAATCGACATGGCTGGGCCTCTTTACGAAGAATAAGTGTGGCGGTGTTTTGATAACGAATCGTTATGTCATCACAGCGGCGCATTGTCAGCCGGGGTGAGTGAAAGATAGTGGCATAAAAATATGATAAACGAAACTGTTATTAAGAAAATTTAAAAATTTTAATATAAATTCAATTACTTATAATCGCTTAATAGCTTCCTGGCCTCGCTAGTTGCTGTTATGGGTGAGTTCGATATCTCAGGTGATTTGGAGAGTAAGCGTGCTGTTACGAAGAATGTTAAACGGGTTATTGTGCATCGTCAGTATGATCCGGCGACTTTTGAAAATGATTTGGCGCTGCTAGAGCTCGAGAGTCCAGTACAATTCGATACACATATAGGTAAGTTCAAAAAAGAGAAGAGTCTCAAATACTCTCCGAACCGTAGGCAACATTTTACTTCATCGACCAGTTAAGATGCATAAAAGCTAAAGCCTACAATTGGCATCCGCAAGCAAAATATCCGCCAAACAATCGAGAACAAATTAAAATTTTATGTTTTCCATAATCTCTAGTCTGTATATTGTTTTATTTAATTTAATATTATTTTATTAAATTTCATTTAATATTTTTATTTTTATGTACTTTATTTAATCCATGTTATTTTTCCTATTTTTATTTTTTTCTCATTTTAAATTATTTTATTTTTTTTTTAAATTGTTTTATTTTATCTTATTTTAATTTATTTTATTTTATTTTATTTTGTTTAATTTTTTTTTATTTTATTTTATTTTATTTTATTTTATTTTATTTTATTTTATTTTATTTTATTTTATTTTATTTTACTTTACTTTACTTTATGTTGTTATAAAAGTAATAAGGAAGAGAAATTTCTTGGCTAAGGCTGAAATCTACTTCGAAGTAACTGCCTTTATTCATTCATTCAGAGTACTTTGTATGTATGTATGTTTAACAATTATTGGAGTATACTCGTATTGCAATTGACATGCGATACTCGAAAAACTTAGGGCCCACCTCGCATTGCGAACAGACACCATAACACAGCCACACCCAATTCCTCTGTATTGATTACTTTGTGTATGGATTCAACGACTTTATATGAAAAGTAGGGGAGGGGAAAGAGAAGTCCGCTTATGCATGCATGAACCTTTGAGGGAGTACTCGTGGACTTGAATGTGTTTGTGGTTTCGCTTTGTTTCGCACATTCCTTCACTAACATGTGACAGAATTAAATAAATTTAAATCCAATTTATCCTTAAAGCAGTCTTTGTGGATTTTTAATGCTGTGATAATAAGTTAAACATTATTCACATATTATACGTACAAATTCGAAATTTCCTGGAAAGGTTCCCTCTGGCATAAATTAAAATGTACTTTTTCGTGGAACTTTTATTTTCTTTATGGATACAACCCTTTTGTGCGTAAATTGAAATTAATTATAAAAATGTGTAAGTATATGAAAAGCAAGCAACCAATCACCTTTGATTATAAACCTTAATCAATTAAAAAATCATTTAAAAATGAAGCGTAGCAAATATTTTCAGCACAAATTTGGTGTGGGTTAACTTTACTCCTGGAAAGTTATAAGCATTTATGAATTTTCAGTAATCGCATGGTTATTGAAGGTTTTTAATCTTGTTTCAAATGTAATTAATATAATTTCAAATTAAATGATTAAGTCTGATTATCTACAATTTCTAAATACATTGTTGTTATTTTGTTATACAACAAAGAAAATTGTACTATATATATACATATATATGTGGAAAAAATTTATATATAATAAAAGCAAAAAGCCACCAAACGTACTAAATTTTATTGAATTCTATTGTAGTATAAGTACATTTTTCAAATTCGCTTTAAAATGTAATTTCATTTCATACCATTATATGGGAGCAAGAGAACAGAATACGTGTGAGCTGTGATCTATATAAAATTCCTACATTTGTTGTATATAAAAATTTAGTCAAGCTGACTTTTAAATATAGTTTCATATGTCTTTTCAACAAGATCATTATCAGTTCCTGGAAAGAAAATAATCCGAAGAAAATCGAATCAAAAGTACGATTTGTTCGCATAGGTCGGTCCCTAGTCCACTTGTCCATGTCCCTAGTCCACTAAGCATGATCGAATTATAAATCCAATTTTTTGGAATAGGTTTGTCAGTGATCCATTTCCCTTAATTTTTTTGTGTTTTTTTGTTTGGCCGAAGGCAAATCCGAATTAATATGAATAATCGAAATCAGCCCAAGCCTTCTTTAGTAATTAACTAATTTCAATTTCCTTCAATGTCTATTTATTATATCCGATTTACTAATTTCATTTATATAATTTTTCATTTACATATTTATTTATATATTTACCACTTATATATTTATTTAGTTATTTGTTTATTTGTTTATTTAATAATTTTTTATTTATTTATTTAATAATTTTTTATTTATTTAATTTAATTTATTAATAAGTAATGTAATTAAAGTGTCAATTTACTTATTAATTATTTATTTTTATTTTTTTTTTTAATTTTATATTTGTTTATTTAGAATAATGTTTTTTTCTAGGAAAAGAATGAGAAAACTTTAATTTGAAACGAATTTGGACCAATTCCAAATCGAATAAACTCATTAATTCGCGTAATTATAAGCGTTTAATTGCTTTCCTTTTCATCTTTCATCATTTTCTAGTGCCGATTTGTATGCCCAACGACCAAGCAGACTTTACCGGCCGCATGGCAACAGTCACCGGTTGGGGGCGTCTGAAGTATGGCGGCGGTGTGCCATCTGTATTGCAGGAAGTTCAGGTAAATTGAAGGCTTGGAAGGTATTTTAATAAAATAAGCATTTTGTAATTGTTTCCTCGCGAACATCGCCACCTAGGTGCCAATTATCGAGAACAGTGTGTGTCAAGAGATGTTCCACACGGCGGGGCACAACAAAAAAATATTGAGCTCATTCCTTTGCGCTGGCTATGCTAATGGGCAAAAGGACTCCTGTGAGGTAAGTGGTTTAAATATTCTAACTTTAAAATTGGAAAACTTCAAAGTGCGCTTGAAAAATTAAATGTGAGAATAGAAAAATATCTCTGAGCTATATTTTCAAATGTTTCTTTCGATTCTTAAGCGATTTAGATTTAAATATAGGTATTTTTTATATCAAAGAAGAGTTTAATTTTACAATTCAATGCAGACTTTTTAATCAGTTCAATAACATCAAAATTCCCTTCTCTCTCTTTCCTACGCACAATTCTGCAAATAAACTTAACCAATTTCCATCAAACAGGGCGACAGCGGTGGTCCATTGGTGCTGCAGCGGCCCGACGGTCGTTATGAATTAGCCGGCACTGTGTCGCACGGCATCAAATGTGCGGCGCCTTATCTGCCAGGTGTATACATGCGTACGACATTCTACAAACCATGGCTGCGAAGTATAACGGGTGTCAAATAAAAGCGTCAAGCGAATACGACTTGTGTGGAACAACATCAACGCAACGCAGCGCAAAGCAACGCAACGGAGTAGCAATACCAACAACGACATTGTTTATATATACGTATACATACATATATGTATATATGATAAATATATTTTTAGTTAGATATAAAAAAGGTGTACGCGTAGGTAGAAAAAATTTAAACAAATAAGTGAAAATTGTGAAAATAACTGTTAAAGCAGCAACACAAAATTAGCGCAAATTGAGAATTAAAGTGAGCAAAATAGCAGCATTCAAATCATTTAGCGGGAAAACAAAAGGAACAAAAACGAAATGAAAAGATGCGTGTAAAATTGAAGAACTGACAGATGACGCACGCATCCATGCAAGCACACAGCCGAGGGACTTAACTTTTCCCAACTGTTGATGTCGGGAATTATGTCTATCGGCAGTTTTTGCATTACCATTTATGTGCTGTTTTCAAAATGCGTCTAAAAATAGTAGCTGTCAGTTGGCAATCGTTTTTGCTGATGTGCTATCAGTCTTATCTTTTAACTTTTCACTTTTAAAGCATAAAATATTAGCAAATGTAAACGATTTATAATAGCGCACCTGGGATGTGGAGGGGGTAAAAAGAAGAAAAAGTTGTGCCTAAGTAGTCTGAATGTCTGAATGTCTAAATGCAAATATGCAAAATTTGTTAGTTAATTTTACATTCAAACGATTTGATCATTCATTTCAAAATCATCTTTATTTATTTTATATGTAAGCAACTATTTATTATATACTTTTAAGCGACTGCATTATTTATTGAAATATTTATTGATTATCTGATAAAATCCGAACCAGCTAAGGTTTTCATTTGCGAAATTATTTACTGCATAAAATCAATAATTTCATTTTTAAAAATCGAGAAAATCGTTCGGAAAATTTTAATTTCATAATTTATTCATTTATTTGTTTATACTAATTTATTTATTACTCACAACTCCACTATATCCATCGCTTCTCTAAACATTAACTTTTAATTCAACTAAAAACGTTAAAAACGCTGTTTAGACGAATTCTTTGTACCGAACTTATTTCTTTTATAACAAAATTTTATACGAAATGGTGAAAGCACGAATTTAGGCTAAACTAATTTGCCTGTTTGAACGGTTTTGTTTTAGTTAAAATTAATAAAAAATCATAATTAAACTTTAAACTAACTAAATATAATTAAAATAATTAAGTTTATCCATAATTATAAATTGAAAATGTTAAATAAATATTTAAAATAAAAATTTATGTAAGTGTAGCATAAAAATATTTGTACAACAGAACCATGAAACACTTGTTCAGCAATATTTCCATATTTATTATTTATATACGTGTAGAAGTAGATAAATCGAAATAATTGAAGATATTATAGCATAAAAATAGTAACAGAAAATACAAATAAAGAGACAAATTTAATAAAAGTGTATATATTCATTTTTCAAATCAATGACAAGGGAAACGATATGCGAGATGGGATCAAAAAATAAAGTGACAGCGTCACCGCTACACAATCAAACACTGTCTTTGAGGTAGCCTTTAGTTCTTTTAGTGGTATTATCTGAGGCAGTAAAGGCGAAGGCATCGTTACACTACTACACAGAGAACGAAAAGGGAAAGCGCTTTTTTCGGATGTCTCTAGGCAAATTTCCTTTGACTCGCATGTGAATCCTTTGTAGTCATACACAAATCTATTCTTCAGTTGTTATAATACGTTTCATTAGTGCTGCATTGTGCTTAAATTCATATAGGGACTTCTGAGCAATTTCTATTTTCCATAGTAAATATATGATCCAATCGATATGTCAACATCGTCAGCGACTACTCTGATTGTGATTCGTTCATAACCATTTCTTTCACTTTTTCCATCCGTTCTTCGGTTGTTGTTCGATCGATTGGGCTGGGGAGTCTTGAAAACACTCGTAACCTCTAGATTTGCTCATAACAGGCTCACTACAATAACACCTTATTCAATATGGACTCATTTTTCATGCAAAACCTAATAGAAATTCTATTATTTGCTAATTTTAGCAAACAATAGTCGCCGACTCGTAGAAACAAATCTTTGACCACCAGATTCGCTAAGCCCGCGAAATCTATTACTTTGAACACACCTCGTATGTAATCAAACTCATATGGAATTCTTGTGCACTCGCTATATAAAAGGGCATAGCAATTCGCGTTATGATGAACTAATTCAATCCGTCACTGTGTTGAAATATTTCGGTGTATTTTGTATTCTCAAAGTCGGACTAGAATCGGAATTTCTGATCAAACGAAGCGTTATCTCTGTCTGGGTGGAACTTAAGATACCGTAAATAATTCATAATACTCGATTGGATACAAAACACAACATCTGAGTTATTCGATAATTAATATACCAATAATCAAAAATATATAAAAATATGAAAAACAAAAAGTATTGTTTACATGCAATCGATACCAGTTCCTGAGGGCGCTCAAAAACGTCGATGATCAACAAAAATAATTTGGCAATAGACGCTTTTTTTAACCATGTTTGCAATATTTTTAGCAATAAAAAATAACTAAACATAAATAAAAGAGCAAATCCACCACAAGCCACTCTTACACTCACTCTTGCACACATCTGCTCAGAACTGCGGCGCGCAATAAAAAAGGGAAAATCCAATTTAGGATATCTGTTTCGAACATGTCAACAAAACATCGCAAAGCCTGTGAGTTTTTTTCTGTTTCTTGCCCAAAGACAAAAGAGAAATAATAACCCACACTACCACACTTTTTTATATTTTGTTGTTATTTTTTTATCGATACTCTTTGCAGAGCTAATGAAAATGCTTCTTTTATGGCGGCTATTTGTTCATATAATACCAGGAATTACAATTTTGGCGTAATTTTCTGTTGACATTTTTTTCATGTGGGTTCTACAGACTCTTTTGATATTATCGTTTTATTACTTTTTTGGCACTTCATTTCGATTAATTCTAACTAATGGGCCCTCCATTGCCAATGGACACTAAATATAAAACAACATTAAAATGTATGAATATACATATTTTATTAGTTTTTCCTCAAACAGCACCATTTTAAAGTATTACCAGCAATGAATATACAGTTAAACAAACAGTACAAAGTTTATTCACCAATTTAAACTCAACACCCCAACCACTTGTTAATATTGACTTTCCACAGAAGAAGCAAGCATAAATAGCTACAGATGTTTGTGGAAATATTTTCGCCCCTAATACTCGAACGGAATTGCTTGCAGTTTTACTACAACTATTTACCGTAAATTCACACCACCAATAGATTGACGGCAAAGCGCTTTAAGTGGTTTAACGCAGTAGCAACTTCCTCCCTCCTAAATGTTAAAAGTATAAGTGCTTTCATAGCATATTTCATTCACATAAATGGATTGTGTGTTTGTATGTGCGCTGGATTGTTTTCGACTGCACTGCTTGTATTGCATGGCTACTTATGTAGCTTTTCAAGAATATGGAGAAAGATAGTGCAACAAAATACGCAAATACCTCGACTGTCTGTGGAAATCCAATATTTATATGAATGTTTATGAACAGGGTTTCAAGACTAATACTTACATGGAAAACACAAAGGTCTGTACAAAAATAAATTTTTGATTAATTTTTCAGAGCTTCTTGAAACTAATTTCAAATAACCACATAACTACTATTGCAATGGGTAATAACTTATAGCTCTGTAAAGAGTATGTCACTGCCTTTTTAAAGTCAAAATATCCCAAACGCACCAAGAGCTTTTGATTTCAACATGTTTTAGTCGGAAATAAATCACTTCATACACCCACATACGACAGCGTAGCTATCCAAGTTCGACTCAATTTCAGCTGGCGGCCATACGTTCACTAAAAAACACTTAAAAATGGTTACACTCAGCTCCCCTAAAAAGTGAACCAATTAGTAGGAAGTGAACAGAAAAAGAAGCTTACTACACAACTCACACGCGCCTCGCCAGATTATATGGATTTAACACATAAACCACAGAGGGAAAAACATATACACGACATATATATATAGGGAATGCATAGCCTGCAAATTCATAGAACCCGAGTATTGAAAGCCACAGAAAAATCGCAAAATCCACACGCAGGTGAAATTTTCTTGGCATACATACGTACACTTGTAGTTAAGTGCATTTCACTGTAGTATATTTAAGATTAAGAGCAAATACAACAAAAAGAGGCAAATAAAATACAAAGTATGAATATTTCCATTCAATACAAACTTCGAATATACTTATGTATATACAGTGATGCTCACATACACAGGGTGTATAGGTGTAGGGGCAACAGGGCGTATGAGTAACCGAGTAGCACATGATGATGGAGTTATATTTTAGCGGTGAACTTTAATATGCGCCACTTAAGCGTACGTTGCAATTCGCAGTTGGTAAAAGGAAGCTCGTCGCAGTAAATGCAGTGCGAAAGGAAATTGGAGCTTTTTAAGTAAAACAATTTCTCTTGTATATACTTAACTTAAGTGTATTTCCTTTGAGGTTATCAATTTGCATTTCTTCTGTGCAGTCAAAAAAAAAAAAAAATAAATAAATAAAAAGTTTTGCGTGAAAATCGCTGCTGAATATTTGGATAGAAATAATAAGAAAATATAAAAAGGAATAGTTTTACCTCCAATATTCACAGCACTTACAATTTTATTGAAACATTGACATAATATATTCAGATTACTTCGTTATATATATTATATTTTATTTCATAACGTTTCGATTTTTTTTTACTTTTTACTTTGTTTTATTTTATTTTATTTTATTTTATTTTATTTTATTTTATTTTATTTTATTTTATTTTATTTTATTTTATTTTATTTTATTTTATTTTATTTTATTTAAATTTGTTTTATTTTCCAATTTTTTCCTTTTTTAATATTTTAAATATTTTTAACCGAAGGTAAAGGGAAATTAAGCTTCAATTTACCTGATTGCATAGCAGGCGGAAAAACTCAATAGTCCCATTGAGACCCGCACATAGACTCGTAATGCTTTTAAAATGGCAGAGAGACGGGCAATTCAATTGGTTCACATGTCTTGCTTTTCGACTTTCCTTTTTAGCATTTATTTTGCAAATTTGATATGCTTTTATTGAGGTTGTTTTTCCTTTTAAAAATATATGTATAGACTTGTATGTAAGTACAAATATTTAATAAGAGGTGCGTTCTATATGATTTGAAGTATAAAATGAAAGCACTCAAGAGCAGCATTCATAATTCATGCATTATCTTCCTCCAGGGGTCTGACAATCTAAATGAGAGCGTAATTTTCAAGTTAAATTTATAAATAAGTTGTATTTTTAACATACGTTTATGCTTGGGTATATTTATATGATTGAGTGTTTTTCTATATGGTCGTAGGCAGCATTTGATGGCTAAAATAGACAGTTTTCATACTTTTTAAGTATTTGAGTAAATAAATGATTTAGTTAATCTCAGTAGTTCAATAACTGTCTCTTTTCAAGCAAGCGTTTCCTCGATCCTACAAATTAACGACTTGCATCTTATTTCCAAGGGTTGAAATATACTTTTAATAAAAGTGTCAGCGATTGTCTAATATATATTTATATAATATATACGTTAGTATTTACTAAAACTTTTGAACATAAACACACAAACAGGCTTATGCCTATATAAATATATCAAAATGTCAAAAATAAACATCAAACTGCCACGACTTAACTACAGCGGAATCCAATCGAAAAGCTCCAAGTAATTTGACGTCATGGAAGTATGGAGACACACAGAAATATTCTTATGTCAGTGACCAACTAAAAATAGCATAAATCAACAATGCAAATGATGAACAAGAAAAAACGGCGTTCAACCCCTTATGTAAGAATAAATTTGGCATAAAAATTAGTAAACCGAAAAAAGCTTTACAAAAAAGCTTGAGTTTTTGAAAGTGGTCCCAAAGTAGTTCCTCACAAATCTCCCACAAATCTTTAATTTACGAATAGAGCGGTTCTGTTTAAGTTTCAAGACGATTTTAAAATAATCATGAGTTCTTGATTGATGCAGTTCTGAAATAGTACATTTTTTAACTATTTTTTATGCTTAACTTTCCCAGTTATTACCTTATTACGTTTTGAAATAGGATCACATTAGTTTCGAGCTTGTCAATCTGCTCAATGTCAAGATTATCCTGGTCAAGATTATGTTGGAACTCTGAATCAGTGTATAATTTTCCAAAAATGCACTAAAATGAGCTTTAACTAATTTCACCCAGCATTGGAGTAGTCCTAATCATATAATATTCAGCAGCTACTGATTAACTCGAAAATATATTTATAACCTTAAAAGCAAACGATTTCCGTTTCTTTATAAACTAATTTCTTAAGAATCAATGTTAATGCATTTATTATTCATAAATATTCTCCCAGCATACATAAATAGAGTGCAGTACACTAAAAAGATACCTAGAGTCCCTGAAGAAAACGAACGCTCTTAGCGATATGCAACTCATGTGAGCCTCCAAGGGTTATTAATGTAAATTTTCAGAATCGCACATGTGTTCATACTTATTTACCTATTTACCTATGCCAACCAACAAAATTCCCAGAACACAGTTAACATATGTATGTATATAACAGCGTTTAAATGAAGAACTTTACTACACAACGACTTATAAGTAAAAAGCTTTTATAAATTTAATTCATAAAACTCACAAATGCCCGCGTTTCTCTTACGTATGTATATCTGTACATGTGTATTGAACCCCTCTTATCGTACATATAGCCGATTTTAAACGAAGCATTTGCGAAAGCTTTTTGCGGCCAAGGTACACTAGCCAGACTGGCTTAGTTTGGTGAATGAGCTTTTCATTCTGGTATTGCATACACTTTAACCGGTCGGCAGGATATCTATTCTGCTGCTCGCTCGTGACATGATAACAACGAAAACAAAAACAACAGCAATGAAGACGACGACGACATCGGTATTAGCATATGTATGACGACAGTCGACAGGTGTTGGCTAATGCCGAGTGACGCTTTAAACAGTTAGTTGTTCAGCGTACGCGTACGTATTCAGTTTGTTAAATTGGGTTTGCGGAAATTTTCACCAAGTAGGAGTTACATATAAAAGCGAAGTGTAAAGTGAAATCCTTAGTTATGTGTATTCATACATATATATATATATATATATGAGTAGTAACATAAGGAAACCCCTCCAACTTCTACTTAATTTTTTTTTCAAATTTTTCTGCATGACTGTGTTTGCGTGTGGGTTCTGATGACTGTTTTTGACAACAAAGAAATGTACTTATTTACGAATAAAGATTAGCGTGGTTTTGATATTTAATTTTGCATGAGCATCTAATACTTTTCATGCTATTTGTGGTTATAAGGAAAAACATTTGTATATTTGTATTTTCTTGCAATAAAGTCATTTAATCTTGTCAATATCTTTTTCGAAAAGAAAGTCTTATAGCTTTTAATATCCTTCTAAACTGAATATTCAAGCATTATATAAGCTCAAGTCAGACCATGAAAAGAGTTTTAGAATCTGTGACCATAGAACACGTTAAGCCTTCTGAACTAACTAAACTTGTCAATTTGTGAATAATGAGCGAGGATTGCTTTTATGTGAACGAATTACACACCACATAACATTTGAAAATCCTTTTCCTTAAATTTATAAAAAAAAAAACGTAAAAACAAATTCCAAAATAAACTTACAACAATTAATATTGTGTTTATATTTGTGTGTATGTATCGCAGCATATTTTTACATTAAAATAACAATGAAATTTATTTTTATCCTTATTAGTAGCTACCCTTGGCATCCACTCACTCCACACTCCTCACCCCACTTGCACTCATTTCAGTCTACTTTACAACTAGTTGCGTGAAATCAATTCCTTTGGATAGACTCATTATTTTCTTTTGCTGACTCCCTGTTTTCCTTTATTATCTTCTTATGTAGTGGCTTTTGCTGCATTTTTCAGTTGGCGAATGTATCTACCGTCGGAAAATGTAAATCAAGCTTGACTTTCCCTGCAAAAACATTGTAATTAAATGCAAATAAAAGTTTTTGCCGCGAGCAGCAGACTGATATCGCAATCGTATTAATTTCAGCTTCGGATAATTTGCAGGTGAGTAGTATATGTATGTAATAAATACTTTTGTGCAACATACTCGTATATATATTTTTTGATTTTTTGCTTGCTAAAAACATTGTTGTGCTTTGCGGCGTGGAACCAGAAGAAATTGTAGAACGCTTAGTACAAAAGAAGATAAATGTAGTGATGACACTTCATGGATAAAAAAATATATTTTTACGTGCTTAAGGCGCCCTTGATTTTACACGCACTCAAAAAACTCGTTATTAGTGTAATCAATATTGAATTCTGATAAAACTGAGTATGCCCAAAATCAGTTTGTGTTGTTCGCTTTACTTCTTTTCCAATGGTATTCTCGCCAAAATCTTCCTCCTTATTCTATTCGCTCTTAAATCTACATACATTTACTACTCGTAGAGAAATGCGAAAAATTATTTTCTAAATGGACTGATTTGGAGTTCAGAGGGTAACAATCGGGCTTATTATTATTATTCTGACGGTGGACTCTTTTAAAATATAAAAACTGTTTCAAAATTGCGCGTGGAAACGCCTAATCTCATATACATATAGTGACCGAGGTACGTTTGCTCTGCGCAAATCTAGATAAAGAATTATGCATTTTTTTTAACTTTTTTATTAACAACTAACAATATAAAATTTCAGAAATTCTTCTGTGTGGTTCTTCTAGTTGTAAATTCTATCTTAATATCATTCATTAGCTAAAGATTAACTTACTAACTTAAACTTTAAGGTATTTTTTTCTTTTTATTTTTTTATAAATAGTAGATGAATGGCAAGTTTAGCGCTTAATCGTATAAATATATATATTTAACTATTTATATATTATATAATTGACGCCTTTTGAAACCAATTTGTGGTTTTGAGCCTTGATATTTTTCCAGCAAATCGAAAGCCGCTCCCGAACAGCACTTGGCTGCAGCGGTCATATAGTAATTGGATTTATGTGGTTAGACAGGCGCACAATATATCTAGCAGTGTATTTTGGAATTGCACTCCTTACAAAGGGTATGCCAAGGTTCTTGTGAATAGCTTCATTGGTAACAAACCGTTGATAACTACGTTTCGATTGATAACGTTGCAGGATCATCACTTTGGACTTAATAGGAGTAGGTCGATATAGGCTTAAGAATTGCTTTGAAGAACCGTACTTTTTTTTCTAGACTAAGTTGAAAGTTGCGACCCGCGTTTTGTTTGCTCTAGTTTTTATTTGCTGCTGCTTAGCCATTAAATGTGTTGATCAAGATGCATTGCTTAATATTTGCCGTTATCACAAGCGGGAGTCTGATTATTGTTTAGAAATTCAGCAAGACTTTTCTGAATTAACCTTAATTTTTCATTTGTCTAGCCAAAGCTGCAAAATATCAAGCTGATGTTGAGAGCAAAGAAGAAGCTTCTGAAGGATACTCGCTACAAGTGATAAAAGCGGCATCATGAGTCGCCACTTCTACTGCTTCAATCGGAATACAGTATATAGGACGGATAAACCGCTACCCTGGGGTACGCCAGCATAAATGCCTGCCAGTCCAATAATATTTCAGTATTAAGAAGAAATGAGCTGGCAAAAGCCTTTTCATTTTATAAAGAAGTCCTGGATGCCATATTCTGTCAAATGCTTGGTGAACGTCTCAAAAAGTCGTTTAACAGTATTTCCTTTCTTCCAACACATCTTTTGGTATACTTGCAATCCTATTGCCATCCATTTGTTGGAAAAACCTCAAAACACAAAACCACAAACTGGAGGAGGTGCCCGGCCGAAAACCGCTTCAGCGGTTACAAAGCGCCTATTATACGTGTATATAGATATATATCCTATGACATTGTTCTAGTGTACCATGTCTTACTCTAAGACCAATCTGATGTTCGGATATTATGTTGGTATATTTTCGAAAATGTTACCAATGGATTAATAGGACGGTAAGACGGTCAGATTAGGTACAATGACTATAGTAGCACATTTCCGGCGGGATGGTGGTTTGTATTGAGAAAGCATTGCATATTGTAGTTAGAAATTGGACTGCTTTCTCAGGAGATCTATCTGCACAGTTATATCCGAGCGATTTGCAGTTTCAATAAAGAAAGGAGAAGGGAGGGAATCCCATTATCATACTTTTCCAACAGTTTTATACCTTTCAGTATATTGAATTTGATCCACGCACCAGGAAGGAATAGTGATAAACGGTCCCGAAGAGGCGGTTGAGGCATTCAGAATTCATATTTTGGAGTTACACCAATCAGAATGTATAGATTTTAATCGAAAATATTTTGAAAAACAAGAAAGCGATTCTTGATTATTAATATTTCTTTCGTAAGCACGAAATATTTACTATATTTTGGGCACTTACAGAATGGTCTTTGTATTTCTTATGGACCGACATTTTAACACAAGAAATATAAAGATATAGAAATAGAACGATTTTTTTTTCATTTTTTTAATTTTATTCTAAAATTCTACCCAAAATTCTTCGCTTTTTTCATAAAATCGGAGTTAGGTATTGCAGAGGAGTTTGCGTTGCCATTACTACCACATAATGAAGTCAAACTAACATATTATATGTTCAGCAAAAACAAAACAAAAAAAAGCTATCAAGAAAACAACAAAAATAAGAATGAGAAAGACGATACAGAGTATCATCAGTGCATGTGTGTTTGTAATAGCGGTTGTTGTGTTGGTTGAAGAAAAGTTTTATGCTCAACAATTTCATATTACCATATCATAAACATGCATATGTATGTACATACGAGTACGTGAACACTATACGCGCACTGCACACGCACACGGTGTGTACCTGCTTACCTGTTGTATGTGGTCCACCTTCAGGCCATTTTGTTTTGCTTTTAGGCTAGCTTGCGCGAGCTGCCATGTCATCATAGCATAATTTTATTCCTTAATTATTAGCGTCAATATAAATGTGTGTGTGCCTGTGCGTATACCTATGTACAATATGTGGGGCGGCCGGGATATTCTATTTCCATGAAAATTCCTATAAATTATTGTTAACACAGCATCGCAGTATAAATAGTATATAACGGTTAAATCACTTTGCTCCACATTGCCATAGCAAGCTTGTGGGAGAAATCAGTGGGTCGAAAGTTGTGTGAAAAGTATCATAAAATTACATATATACTATATGCATGTATTAGAAATCTGTTGTTAAATACACCACTGCTTTGTCAAAACAATTGGCCTTTTGGCTATTTAATTAGACTCTCTAATTGCCAATTGATTATTAGTGTACTTTGGTCTCATATAAACATTAACTCTGATTTATAATATCTAGAATTTACTTATTTATGTAATGAGCATAACAAATTGTTATTATTATACTTAATTGTTTTAACGGGCATTTCGGAGAGCATAAATCATAATAATTACCTAACGGTTATATCAAGCAGTAAAATATAATTAATTAAAGTCAGATTAGGTGATGGCATCCAAACTATATTTCAAGGAAACCAAAATATGCTTTTGTAAAATTAATCCATTTTAGCTTATATGGCCAGCTTGCTTGAGCGTTCAATTTTTGTATAGTCTATCTAGAGTAATTATTTCCGTCAACTTTAAATAATAAATATAATCACGAATAGTTGGACACTTCCCACGGCAATTCGAATATACAATTTATACTTGGAAATCACACTTCTCTTTTAGGAGTATTTCGGCGGTTCTTCCCTCCCTTTCACCAACCTTTTCTGCTTCTTTTTCATTACTTTTCGTTTTCCACTGCATATTCGTTAAAAGAATATATTTGTTTAAACTAATATATACATATATAAAAATTCATTCATCATTTTCGTGCAGCTCGAGCAATTCAAGCGTTTTAAATTAAAATGTTCAGTCTTACTCTGAACTTATTTTCTATAATTTTAAATTTATTTTTTAATCAACAATTTTGACAATCAAAACTGCAACTTGAAAAATTTCCAAAAACAAACCAAAGATACATTTTGGGCAATTGAGCACCGAACGAGTATTCAGCAGCTCACTTTGCTCGATACCCGGCTATCTAGAGGCCTAGTATATACATAAATATTTAGTAACAGTTATGCTTATGCTTATTGTACTCACATAGTGGTGATAGAGATTCATATGAACAAAATTACGTTGTTTAGCTTTCAGCACTCAATTGCGTAGCTCTAGTATTGAATTGAAAATTATTGCTCCTCCTCTTGGCTGAACTAATTGACGTATGAAGGTTCACTAATCGATATATTAAGAGGGCTTTAAGAATAAGACAACGTCCCATAGATCCAACATAGAAACTGCGCTTTTTTGGTGGAAAATTCCTTGTTTACTATCAACCAACGATATTATTCACCTAACTTCGCTTCGTCTTGCCAATTCGCGGGCAATAAATTTTAGTGAGCCATTAGCTGATCTAAAGGCAACTCAAGCGGCGTCGCACCTGTAGCTCAGAGGCGTTAGTTTCCATTGGCTACAAAATTAAAGAAAATTTATGTATTTTGTTTAAATAGAAGTCTAATTTTCAGTGTTGTAGACATTAAGCTACTCATTCACATTGACAGCAAATGACAGTTCTATTTTTACAAAAACTTAATTGCATCAAGCGAGTTTAACCCGAATAAGTTAGTGAACGTAATTTCAACTGAATCGAACCCGTTGCCGAATTCTAAATTTAGTTCAATTACCAAATTCTTGAACGTATGTATGTAAATTCCCCAGAGGCGAGTAACGCCATTGCGAAACAAGGCGATTGATGAGTGGCGCTGAAGCGAATGCAAATTTCAAAACTCAATCAACGCACTCAACCGAGCGCTTTTAGTTGTTTAACGCTTTCGAAGTTCAATTGATGGCGAAACTAGAAGAAAATATCTGCTAGTATGCGGCTGATAGTCTGCAATTGGTGGATTTGTTGGCGATTCTTCGGATAACTGAGCGCTTGATTGGCACAGACCAAACTGGAATTTGCCATGAAAAAAGACTTGATGAGCAAAGAGCAAATTTCCCTTGAAAACTTACTAAATGCGCTGCATTTCATGGAAGAATTTTATTT